AAATGTGTATATACATTCAGTATTCTTAGGTTTTCCTGATGAATTGACAACTTTGTAATGTGCCCCTTTATCTCTGGTAATGTTCTGTGTTCTGAAGTGTACTTTGTCCCAACTTTCACTTAATTCATGTTTGCGTGGTATATTTTAACCTTTCTTATATTTATGTCTTTATATTTAAAGTAAGTTTCTTGTATAAAACATATGGTTGGGTTTTACTTTCTTTTCCAATCTCAATCTCTGCCTTTTAATTGGAGCATTTAGAGCCATTTACATTTAATGCTAATCACTAGTGCATTTGTATTTTAAATCTACTATCTTTTTGTTTTATATTTGTCCCATCTGTTCTTTGTTCCTATTTTTCTTTTTTCATGCTTTTTTTTGAACTGAGCATATTTTATGATTCCATTTTACACCCAGTATTGGCCTATTATTTATATCATTTTAAAATTAATTTAATGATTACTGTAGTATTTATAAAATGTATCTATTTTTAACTCATCACAGTTCGTTTTCAAATGGTACATCACGTCATATATAGGTTAAGAACCTTACAACAGTATACTTTCATTTCCTCCCTCTTATCTTTTGTGTTATTATTGTTACATATTTTCTTCTACATATAAGTCCCACAACACATTGTTCCTATATTTTGTTTAGACTAGTGCTTTTCAACCTTTTAAAAATTACTGCTTCCATCAGGCATCAGGCATTCTTTTTTCTTAATTGTTCCCTGTTTCCCCATGAAATTTTAGTACTATAGCTATACTACGTAACTGTGTTTGTGCTGTGGCCCTTTGGAGGGCCAAAAAGTCACTGTAATAACTAAGATTATTTTGGCTTTCAAATAATTGATTTTAATTTTCTTGTGTGTAATATTGCCCCTATGGAGTAAGCGTTATCTTTAAAAGTGATTAGTAAAAAAAAAAAAACCCAACTTTTTAAAAACCATTTTTGGTCCTATTTCCTTGTGTAGATTCAAATTTACAAATGGGATCATATTCCTTTTGCCCAAAGAACTTCCTTTAACACTTCTTATAATGAAGATTTACTGGCAACAAATTCTATCAGCGTTTACTTCCTGAAATAGTCTGTTTGGTCTCATTTTTAAAAGATGTTTTCATTACATATAGTATTCTGAGTTAACATTATTTTTTTCCTTTTCCATACTTTAAGGTGTTACTTTATTATCTTCTGTTTGTATAATTTCTGTTCCCCTGTATCTAATATCTTCCTCATTCAGCTTAATTAAAGATTTTCTTGTTCTATCTTTGGTTTTCAGAAATTTGATCATGACTCGTCTTGTGTGTGTGTGTGTGAGGGGAGTACTTTTGTTAGTTCTTGTGTTTATTCTGCTTCTTTGATCTGTATTTTGTCATTTTTCATTACTTTTGGGAAACTCTGAGCTATAATACATTTAAATATTTCTTCTATACTCTTTCTTTTATCCTTCTGGGAATCCATTTCATATGTTATAGATCCTTTGATATTGTTTTACAGCTCTTGATTGGTATATATTTGTTTCTTATTCTTTTTCTCCTTCTGTTTTAGTTTGGCCCATCTTTTATAGTAAATTCTTCTTTCACATATTACTTAACAGTTTTTTTAGAAGTCCCTATTTGGTTTCTGACATCTAAATCGACTTTAGATTTGTTGATTGCCTTATTTATTGACAATGGGATATTATTTAATTTATATTTCAAAACTCTTCACTGAACACCGGAGACTGTATATGGAAGGGCAGCAGAAACTGAGGTAAATAGTATTTACACCTGAAAATAGACTTGCTTCTTCTGTCAGGCAATTAATGAGGGGAGTTGGGTTACTTTAGTCAGAGGTTAACCTGGGTTTAGGTTTTGTTGCTAGAGTTACCTTCAATATATTACAAACTTCAGATTCCTTCAATAATACCATGATACTTACTTTTTGCTTTGTGTGGGCCCTGGAGTGCTGAAAATTTGTCCTCTGTGTTTCTTTTCCACCCTTAGCTTTGGGCAGTTCTTGCATGCCTATACCCTAGAGGTGTCTCTTTCTATGCCCCATACCCAGCAGCAGACTGTTAATTTTTGTTACTCAATGATAACCTCAAGATGGGGCTCTGAGGGGGGAGAGGAAAGGTTTGGTTCTCTGGCCTATGCTCAGTTTTAGGCAGTGTCTGGGCACTTAAGCCTCAGAAATGAGCTTTTGCATTCATGTCTTACTGCCAACTCTCACGGTCAAACTCCCACTTTTACCTGTGGGGATTCTTGGGTGGAAGAGAGTTTGCTGCCCTTCCTCATGGCAATAGAATTGTAATTAACTTGTAATTTTGCAGGATGCTGGGCCCAACAGAATTTCTGACTTTTTCACCAAGCACTATTGACTTTATGTGCAACCTCTCCTGATTTCAGAAGCAGGGAATCTTTACCTAGGTCCTAGGGCCAGGTCCCTTCCCACATTGTTTAAAGCTTTTGATTTGAAGGACAGAGGATCTTGGGAAATGTACAGGCTTTCATGCCTGTGTACACCTAAGGGGACTCTCTCTGGTCTCCAGCCTTGCCCATTATCTTCCTACAAGTACCAAATGGAGGTCTGTGAAAAAGATCCTATGCATGAGTACAAACTGCTCTTGTGTTTGGAGCTTTCAGCTATTCTACTGTCATATCAGTCTTTCAGAACTTTACAAATCTGAGCTATTTCCTCCTACTTTTGTGGTGACAGTCTGTCTCCTGCACTCTGTCAGATAAATGTAAAACTGTTCATATGTCTCATCTTTTCTTGCACAGACTTGTCAATGTTTTAAAAAATTTGGTTCACCTGGGTACCTTACAACTTTAGCTCTCTAATGGGCTCAGGAAAAGTTATTATTTCACAGATTACACAGATTTATCTTGCGGTTAGGTTGGAAGCTACAGTCCTTTGCAATTGTGTGTATCTTAGATGGAAGCAGAACCTCCTATATTTACTAATAGGCTCTATTAAGTATTCTTCTTACCCTCTAGTCTTTCCATCAAAGTATGGGAAGCATAGGCATGGTGGCTCATGCATGTAGTTCTAGAGGATGCAGGAGGATTGCTTGAGCACAGGAATTTACACATGCAGTGAGCTATGATGTCACTGCACTCTAGCTTGGGCAACAGAGTGAGACCTTGTCTAAAAAAAAAAAAAAAA